TGGGAGAGGGAGGGCTGTGGGAAAGTCACCACTCCACCTGGAGCGGGCTCTCATGAGTGCAGAGACACAGAGGCCAGAGAAGCCATCGGCAGTGGTGGAGCCTGGATGTCCAAATGGACAACACCAGACCAGCTGTGAACACAGAGCCGGGAGACACAAGCTGCAGCCACCAGCCTGGGAGCTGGCCCGCTGTCTATAAGCCAGAGGTACAGGAAGTGAGGCCACTGTCTCTACAACAAGCAGCCTGGGAGCTGGCCCACTGCCTACAAGCCAGAGGTACAGGAAGTGAGGCCATGTCTCTACAGCAACTAGCCCGGGAGCCGGCCTGCTATCTACAAGCCAGGCTTGTGAGAAGTGAGGCCACTGTCTCCACGGCAACCAGCCCCCTAATTACAGGCGGGTTCCTGGGCTCATTGGAGAAGTGCGGGAAGTGAAGCCACCATCTCTAGCAGCGGTTCAGGAAGCCAAACCACGACCCTGGTCACCACTGGCCCCACATGGCCCAGGCTTGGTCTGTTACTGCCACTTCCCTAACTGCTGTCCCCACTTGCAACTCAGGACCAAGCAGAGAAAGCCAAATGTGCCTCCACCAATCTCCCGGTGAGGCAGTGTGGGAAGTACAAAAGTTCCTTTTTAAAGTTTCCTTGCTTGTTAAAGAATAAGTGTGCTGGCCAGGCGCAGTGGCTCACACCTGTAATCCCAGCACTTTGGGAGGCTGAGGCAGGTGGATCATGAGGTCAGGAGCTCAAGACCAGCCTGACCAACATGGTGAAACCCTGTTTCTACTAAAAATACAAAAATGAGCTGGGCATGGTGGCGTGTGCCTGTAATCCCAGCTACTCAGGAGGCTGAGACAGGAGAATCGCTTGAACCTGGGAGGCAGAGGTTGCAGTGAGCCGAGATCGCGCCATTGCACTCCAGCCTGGGTGACAGAGTGAGCCTCCTTCTCAAAAAAAAAAAAAGAATAAGTGTGCCAATAACTTTGTGAAGCCCTATCCTATGTAGCTGTGAGACACGCCATGCTTACAGGCACGTAGTACATTCTATGTTCTTGTACTTTAACCAAGATATCTGTGCTGGACGTGCTCACAAGCATGTCTGAGCTGTCCATTGCTTTCACCTGTTTAAAAACGTTTTAAGTCGTTAGCCAATCGGATTGTAGTTTAGATTGTGAGGTCTGGCTCCAGCCAACGGAGATCAGACACAGCAGTAAGGACGACCCCAAATGCCTAAGAAGTAAATTTGTGTGTTTTCCTTTGTTCATTGTACTCTCGTGGCACAATGGCTAGAGAGAGTGCCCTGCCTGCAGTCCAGGAAGTAAAAATTGCATTGCTGAAAGATCCTTTGTCTCAGTGCTAATTTTTCTTTATGGCACTGAGCATCTATTTCCAACAAATTCTATTTCCGACATCTATTTTCAAAAGACAGGATGCACCCCCTTGACCCCTTCACGGGCGGGAACTGGAGTGGCTGGTTTCGCTCAGCCTGCTCCTGGCCACTCCTTGCAGCAGGAAGCGGGCAAGTGAGTGAGAGCGGCAGGAACCGGAGCAAACAAACGCTGGAACCTGCCAGTGGCTCCTGCCCGGCGGGAGCAGGCTCCATGAGCCCCGCAGCAGCATCCAAGCGTGTTACAACGATGCTCTTTCAGCTCCGCCGTCCAGAGGCAGCCAAGTGCCAACCAGTGCAGTGGAGGTTCAGGGTGGCAGCCCGTGCCCTCTGGGCACCTACCTGGGTTCTTGTCCAGTGTCCAGGAAGAATCAGGTCACGTGAGCTGTTTGAAAGGTGATGAATGCAGAAGACTTTACTAAGTGGTGGGTGGCTCTCAGCAGAAAGGGAAGCTGGAGAAAGGACGGGAAGGTGATCTCTCCCAGAGCCCCGGGCCTCTCCGAAGCCACGCCGGCTGAAGTCAGCCATATCCATCCCAGTCTCCAATGCTCAGCTGCTTGTGCTGCTCTGCCAGCTGAAGTCTTTTACGGGCAGAGGATGGGGGCGGGGCAGGCCAAAAAGGCAACGTTCAGGTGGAAAAACGGGTCAGCTGTTTTACTGAGGGCTGAGGTTCCAGGCTTAAGGGTGGGGGTTAGCCAGGAGCCCAGCCTTCTGTATCAAGGGCCGTGCTGCTTCTGAGCCACCTCCAGGTTCCCACGCCAGCACCTCCAGCCAGGGCAACAGCCTGGTGCTCAGGCGGGAACCTCCTTTTCTCACCATGCGGCCCGCCCATCCCCTGCCCACCTTGGGGTCTCTGCCAAGCACAGGCGAGGGAGTGGCCCCGTTGCTGGAGAAGCTGTGGGAAAACAGCCTCTGCTCACTGTCCCTTCCCTGGTCTCCAGCTGTTCCCACAGCAGTGAAGCAGGGATTCGATGCCAGGCCTCTGGTCCTTTATCCGAGCTCTCAACAGCCACACTGCCCAGAAGGAAAATATGGATAGTTTTTGACAAATCGTGGCTGCTGTTTGCCAGTGACTGGGCCTCTGAGGGCTGCTGGGGGGTCCCCAGCAGTTCTAGTGACATTCCTTCTGTGACATGTATTCTAAGGCCAGGTAAACAATGGACCACGAGACTTCGAGAATGGTTTTTTCTAACTGGGCACTGGCTGGCTGCATGAACCCACAGGCATCTGTCTCTACTTTGGGGTCACACCTCTTGCTGTCACAGATTCTACTTCACAATTCTTCTCTAAAATGAGCCCCACTCCCCTATCTCTGCACAGTCTGGGTGGCCACCAGGTTCCCTCACGGAGGCGGAGATGTCTCAAGAGTGTTTCTGTATTCGAGCTGGGCGTGCCCACGCATGAACGCATGTAAATTTCCTTGAGCTGCTGTGCCGAGTTTGAATATTTGTTCAGTCACTATGCAGAGTGACAATTGAAAACACAACCGACTCAACCAAGTCAGATGGGTGCAGAGACCCTTCGCATCATTTTAATAGTAAAATTCCCCTGGGTTTACAGTGTGGTCCATTGAAAAAAAGGTTTAAAGAAATAATGCTACTTACAATCCTAAACCCAAACTTCTCCCAAAAGCAAATATTTTAGGAGATGAACCTCAGAGAAAAAAAAGTACAAAACCCGAGCCTCTAACAAGGTGGAGTGTTAGATCTGCAGGACACAGATGATTGTGATTTTCAGGAGAAAGTTCCCATCCGAGGGACCTGGCAGTTCTCTGCTGCCAGCCTGCAAGGCCAAAACATGGGAAGGAGGGCACACGATGACCGACTTTGATCGCGACCAATCACTGGCCTCCGGGAATGACCTTTTCTAGCTCAGTGGCCTGGCTGCTGCCCTCCCAAGAATGTGGAGTGCTTTTCTCCTGCTCATTCAGAATTCCATCCCACCCATGCCTTCCTCTCTGCGAGCCTGAGTTTTCCAAACTGATAGCTCCATTCTCTGCCACACTACAGGCCACGCTGCAAGAGAAGCTACCAACCCCATGCTGGCACTAGGGTTTGTTAAGAGCGACATCACTGGTTCTCAAGTGAGGCTCGAGGAATGGGGGACTGGATTCAATATTGGAGACTTTGCAAAACCCAGAAGCTTGGGTCTCTGGTCCCTCACCAAGGGAGGGCAGGCAAGGCAATCTCAAGTCAAAAACTCTTCAAAAATACCCAGCCTCATTTTCTGTCAGGAACTGTGGACAGACCTGCTGGCTCTTTCTCTGCTGTCAAATTACGTGGGTGCCCTGGATAAAATGTCTCCTTGAGACACATCCAAATCCATGACATCAGGTTAAAATTAACATCTGGAACTGCTGACTAGGAAAGCAAGTCTCACAGCTCTGGAGAAGAGGGAGCAGGGCTGGGGGCCGGCAGGCTTGCCCGCTGGAGGGCGGCCCTGTCTGCATCGGCTCCTGGCTCCCTTCACCATAGCCAAGCCCCATCCGATACCTTAGAAGTCTCTCTGCCCTTCCACGCCCTGTGACCTTGTCGCAGGAGAACTGACGAGGCCGGAAAGGGCAGAGGTGTTTGTCGTACCTCTGTCCCGTGTCCCCACAAAAAGCATCAAATCACAGGACATTTCATAATCTGACTTAGTGTAACACCACTCACTCTGTCACCCAGGCTGGAGTGCAGCGGTACCATCTCAGCTCACTGCAGCCTCTGCCTCCCGGGTTCAAGTAATTCTCCTGCCTCAGCCTCCCAAGTAGCTGGGATTACAGGTGCCCGCCACTGCTCCTGACTAATTTTTGTATTTTTTAGTAGAGACGGGGTTTCACCATGTTGGCCAGGCTGGTCTTGAACTCCTGACCTCAAGTGATCCATCACCTGCCTCACCCCCCCGCAGAGTGCTGGGATGACAGGTGTGGGCCACCACCCTAATCTTCCACTATGCAAGTGGGTTCTCTGCCTGGCCGGTGCCACGTTGCCTGCCTCCTTGCCGTACAAGTGGTAACAAAGGAAAGGGAAGATGGAGCCTCCGGGCTGCCCACGCGTGGCCCTCAGGTGGCCCTTTCCTGTCGTTGCGGCTGCCGGCATTCACCTGTGCAAGCTTCCAGCTTGATGACCTATGCTGGCAGCTCGGTTTTTCAGGCTGCTCTTTGTTTGTTAGAAAAGAAATGACTTAGGCCGGGCGCGGTGGCTCAAGCCTGTAATCCCAGCACTTTGGGAGGCCGAGGCGGGTGGATCACGAGGTCAAGAGATCGAGACCATCCTGGTCAACATGGTGAAACCCCGTCTCTACTAAAATACAAAAAAAATTAGCTGGGCATGGTGGCGCGTGCCTGTAATCCCAGCTACTCAGGAGGCTGAGGCAGGAGAATTGCCTGAACCCAGGAGGCGGAGGTTGCGGTGAGCCGAGATCGCGCCATTGCACTCCAGCCTGGGTAACAAGAGCGAAACTCCGTCTCAAAAAAAAAAAAAAAAAATAAAGAAAATAAATGACTTGGGGGCTGCTGCTTGTTACAAAGGAAAAGCTTCCCAAGGACTCCAGGACCCTCACTACCTGCCTAAAATACTTTCTTTCTAGCTCCTGTATCAACACCCCCTGCCCGCCCTCCCTTTTACCTGGTCCCTGTGCTGTTCCACCCTGGCCACTCATGATGGCACCAATTTCCTTGATTGCAGAGATGCCTGGGAGCCCCAGGGCAACCTGTGCCTGGACCCCAAAAAGCACAGAACTTAGGAGGAGAAATGAGAGAGATGCTCACTTATTAGAAATAAATTGCATACATCAAAACAATGGTACAGGAGGGTAGAGAAAGAAGATGAAATCAAGAATTCAGGTTTTAGATTTTAAATCTCCAGTTTTCTGATTCTAAAACATCTGGTTTTACAACTGAGGAACATGGGGAAATGCCTGGTTTCTCTCCAGGGAATCCCACATCCAGCTATTTTATTTGTTTCAAAGCGTTTTCATCAGATTTTAAGACGGTTTACTGCCTGCAGATGAGAGGAATGCTTGTCAGAGTGATTTTTCATAGTTCTGCTCTTTCATCCAACCAGATCAACACACTAAGCAGGTGTTTAGGCAAATGGCTGCGTTTTGTACCTGCGGGAGCTTCAAAAGCAACAGAGATGCAAAACTGTTCTAAAATCATCCAGACACATTTTGCATCTAAAAATATGTGCATATTCATTTACCTTCAGATCCCTAAAATGATGCCTTCTGAAGTTGCCAGTTTTCCTTTCTGTTTGCGGCGTGGAGGCCTCATCTCTGGAAGGTGGGGAATGTTCTTTTTGCTGTCCAAAGCAGGCAGGATTCCGGAGACTTACTCATCAGCCAAAAATACTCCTCAACTGCAAATCTCTTAAAGGCCACCTGGATCACCTTAGTCCCCCAAGCCTCACCCAGCCGGACATATCACACAACCATCTACCAACAGGGTGTCCAGCTTTGGGGCTTCTTCCAAACCACCGCAGCAAGCTCACAAATGCCCCTCAGCACTGAGCAGCTGGAGGGTGTCTGTGCTGAACACCCTGTGTCTCAGTGTCCCGTCCTGGCTGCTGGTGGTCAGGCCCTATGAGAAGGGCTCCTCACACACTAAAAAACACGTAAGCATGGCAATGTGAGGTGGAGAGTGACAGCCCAGGCCTACGCTGAGGTGTGGTTCCCAAAGCTCATTTTGATTTTGTTTGGTTTTCTTTCCCAATACCCATTTGATGGACTGAGAGCTCCTAATGAGAATACAAACTTAGACCAAATAAACATTAAGTTGAGAGCTTGGATCTACACGCAGGCATATCTTTCTAAACTGTGAATCATTGACTGGGTCTCAGACTGGCCTTGCCACGTGCACCGAATTTTTGAAATGGCCTAAATGGGTCTGTTCTGCTCCCAGAGATCAGCCCTCTTGCTCTCCCAGCAGGAAATTTATTGTGAAAGAAAATTTTCTGACTAGAAAGGAAAAGAAAAATGCGCATCTTTCATCAAATACTAAAGGGTATTTGACGAGTCATATTTCAGTTTGAAACTGATTTGCAAACGCATCTCCCTTTACTCTCACTATTTAACCCATGCAAACTTTGCACGTAAGAATAAGAAAGATTAATAAGATCTTGCACTTCAAAGTAGTTTTAAGATACTGCTATTCCTGTACCCCTGAAATGGATGATTTTCTGAAGAACGTGTTAACCCAATTATTCTGAGTGAACAAAAGAACTATTTGAAAGACATATGAAGCATATTTTCCCAAACAGAAAAATTCGTTTGTAATGCAATTAACCAAGTGCTACTTTTAAATTATTCACCTTACGAATTCGAGTTTCGAAAATCCTATTTTTCTAAAGCAGAATATATCTACCCAGCCCGGTCTGAATTTCCGGCCCCACCTCTGATTTCCTTTTGAACAGATGACACAAAGAAAGCGTGCAGCCTTCAACGGGATGACTTCCCTGAGGAGTTCCAGCTACTCAAGCATTCCCTAAACGCCTCGACCAACTCTGCTGTTTAAGGATCCTTTACATGACGTCAACAAGATCTCCAGCTCCTCCTTGTAATCCTCACCGTCTCCATGCCCATCAAAGTTCTTGCAGAAGCAATATGGGAGCATCCAACTGTAAATTTGGATGGTTTTTGAAGCATTAGTTCCATTTTGAATCAATCAACAGGTCATATTTAACAATACGTGCTCATACATTGCATTGCATATTATCCAGAAATATAGAACCCCTTAAACCCTCATTGATTGCATCGTTTCAGCCCCACGTTCTAAAACTGGTCCTTTCTCAGGAGCCGTTCGCACGCAGTGCCCAGGACGGCCAGCAGATGGCAGCACCGAGGCTCACGAAGAGCAGAAACCAAGCCGGAGCTCGAGGGGCGTTCGAAGCCTACCGTGATAGCGTCAGGACACGTGAGAAAGGCAAATTATGTTCTCTCGCCGTTATTTTCCTTCTAAACACATTTGACAACCCACCTTTTATTAACACGTTTGCGTCCTCTGAGACAATGCTTTTGCCCAGCACCACGCGCCTGCTGCGCAAAGCCTCAATCAGGGATTAAGAAGGCTGAGATCCTATGTAAAGAATATTTATGTCTTAATTGTCTTGAAAGCTTGGCATGGTAATTGAAGAATTCAAAGGTCAAAAAATCTACTTCGTCTCTCCTATTTTTCAGAAAATCAAGAAGCCAACAACACCAAGATTGATAGAAATACATTTTCCTTGTCTCTCCTGCACATTATACTAAGTGGTAATGTCGAGCTGACAGGACTTTGTGATGTTTTATATCTGAAGGTGAATTCGCCTGAGTATGCCCCCTACGGAGACGCTCACTTATACTTAAAGGAAAAGCAGAAAAATCGCAAAAGAAGCCGTCACAAAGGATAGTCGACACTGGAAAAAATGTTTAACCTCAGTAGTAATCAAGTCCAAAAAAAAAAAAAAACAAACCCCACTGAGATGTCACACTTTACAATCAAATTATTGCACACCAAAATGTATTAATAATGAATCCCACATGAGAGAAAATAAATTGATCCAACCTTTCTGAGGGAAAATGGAGCCAGAGACCCAGATGCTTTAGAAATGTTCGTAGTCTTTGGCTTATTAGCAACACTCTTGGGACAGTAACCAAAGAAAAAAAATCTAAAATCCAAAATACAGAGTCAAGATTATTCACTCCAACAGTACATGTAACAGTAAAACACAGAACACATTCTAAATATTGCAAAAGAATAGTAACTAAATTATATTTATATGACTGTATATATTTACTCAATAAAATAATGCCCATACACACTTTCAGAGTTAAGCATCTGAGAGGATAAAGGTAAGCTCTCTCTAAATAGTAGGATTAATGATATTGTCATGCTATTATTTTGCTTATCTATGTTTTTAAGTTTTATGCAACAAACTTGTTTTAGGAGCAATAAAACCATTAAAAGAGACTTCAATTTACTGGCAGTACAGTATGGTCTGAACTATGTGAAAGCACACACTGCACATAAAAGAGGGAGATAAGGCCGGGCGGGGTGGCTCACGCCTGTAATCCCAGCACTTTGGGAGGTCCAGCGGGTGAATCACGAGGTTAGGAGTTTGAGACCAGCCTGGCCAATATGATGAAACCCTGTCTTTCCTGAAAAAACAAAAATTAGCCAGCTGTGGTGGCACATTCCTATAATCCCAGCTACTCGGGAGGCTGAGGCAGAAGAACCGCTTGAACCTGGGAGGTTGCAGTGAGCTGAGATCATGTCACTGCATCCAGCCTGGGTGACAGCGTGAGACTCCATCTCAAAAAAAAAAAAAAAAAAAAAAAAAAAAAAAAAAAGAAAAAAAAGAAAGAAAGAAAAAGAGGGAGATAAATTGTAATTGGTTCTCACTTATGGTTGAGCTGTGGGTACTTTTACTGCTTTCTCCATTTTATGCTTTCTACAACGAGCCTGCACGACATTTTATATCAGAAAATAATTTTAATGAAAATATGAGCTGTGACCCATACTAAAAATTAACTCAAAATGATCATACTTAAATGTAAAATCTAAAATCATAAAACTTCTAGAAGAAAACATAGAGGAAAGTCTTATCAACCTTGGGTTAGACAAGTATTACTCAGGACACTAAAAATATAACCCCCCCCACCCCCCCGCACACACACAAATTGAAAAACTGGGCTTCATCGGAATTTAAAACTTCTGCTTTTTGAAAGACACTTAGGAATATGAATGGACGAGCAGAGACTGGAAGAAAATCGTTTGCAAAGCCCATATCCGATAAGGACTTGTATTCACTTTATAAAAAGAATTATCAAAACTGGATCATAAGAAAACCCAGTTTAAAATATGAGCAGAAGGTGCGAACAGACATGTCACCAAAGAGGGTGTATGGAGGGCAAACTCGCTCATGGAAGTCCTCATTCGGGAAAAGCAAATTGAACCATAATGGAAAACTGCAAGCCATCTATTAAAAGGGCTTGTTTATTTATTTCCTTATTGGAGGCCGGAGTGCAATGGCGCGATCTCGGCTCACTGCAACCTCCGCCTCCTGGGTTCAAGCGATTCTCCTGCCTCGGCCTCTCGAGTAGCTGGGGCTACAGATGCGCCCCGCTACGCCCCGCTAATTTTTTGTTTTAGTAGAGACGGGGTTTCACTGTGTTGCCCAGGCTAGTCTCGAACTCCTGAGCTCAGGCAATCCGCCCACCTCGGCCTCCCAAAGTGCTGGGATTACAGGCGTGAGCCACCGCCCCTGGCCTAATTTTTTTTTTTTTTTTTTAAACCTGCCAAAACCAACCACTGACGGATCTAGAGCACCTTCTGCCGCATTCTGCTGGTGTGAGCGCAAAACGGCGCAGGCACTTTGGAAAGCCTCTGGCCTCGCTTTACAGGTAAACAAGCTTCTCTTATTACCCACAGATTCCACTGCTCAGTATTTACCAAAGAAACATGAAAACCTCGGTCCACACAAAACCCATACACAAAGGTTTACAGCACTGACGTATTTATCTACGGAGGGCCGGAGTCTCCCTCTGTCGCCCAGGCTGGAGCGCAGTGGCCATCCCGGCTCACCGCGAACTCCGCCTCCCGGGCGCACACGATTCTCGTGCGTAAGGCGGGGCTGTTGCCTGAATCTAGCTGTGGCTTTTTGGAAACAAGGCCAATTAGGTCACTAATTAATTCATGCAGTAGCCCAAGCGGCGGTTCCAGTCAATCAGATTTAAAACTTACTTTTAACAAATACCTGCGCTGCATTAATTTTCATTTCAGCCCCCCATATGGAGAAGAAAGGCGTACCTTTATCTTGCCATTTGAGGATCTTTTTAATGCGTTGTTGCTGCCCTAAGGAAGAAAAGGAATTCTCCTTTATCCCCAGTGTCCCGGGAAGGAAGGGGAAGTAGAATGACAGCAATATTGGAAACTTCCATCCGAAGTGACTTGGTACCAGCAGCGGCCCGTCCTGTGCACAGATGACAGAATGTACAGAGCTCTGTGGAAAGAACGAAAGGAGTTGCGTTTTTAAAATGCTGCTCAGTGGTGCATCCTCAGAAAGCCTCTGCTTCCCGCAGCTCAGGGCTTTCCTTTTCATTATGCCCAGTAACGAGGAGCTGAAGTACCAATCGCCCTCCCCACAGACTCCCCAGCAACTCTTGCACGGTCGCTTTCTTCTCCTTCAAACGTGGCGTACAAGGACTTTTACACTTTGGTGACACGGAACACGCACGCTATACACATAGGAAACGACGTTTTCATGAGGAAACACGTGAGCTAGGTGCAGTCTCTTCTGGTCGTTTTCATTCTGTTCTGTACTACATGCCATGTTTCATTTTGTAAAATGCTGGTCGGGACCCGCTAAAAAGACTCGATCCCTCACTCAGGAGTAGAGTGACCCATGATGTGAGAAGCACAGCTCCACTGAGCCTGGACGCACAGCCCTTCAGAGCCTCCTTAGTGGCTGTGGCTTGCTGAGGCCACTGGCTTTCCTGACAGACCTGCTACTTCGCCTCCTTCTGTTCACGGCCTTCAATGTGATCCAAACTGCTGTTTTGTTTTTGTTTTTGTTTTTGTTTTCAAACTGCTGTTTTTTTAAAACAAAAATAATCTGGCCAGGCGCGGGGGCTCACGCCTGTGATCCCAGCGCTTTGGGAGGCCTAGGCAGGGGGATCGCCTGAAGTGAGAAGTCGGAGAGCAGCCTGGCCAGCATGGTGAAACCCTATCTCTACTAAAAATACAAAAAATTAGCCTGGCATTGTGCTGGGCGCCTGTAATCCCAGATACTTGGGAGGCTGAGGCAGGAGAATCGCTTGAACCCAGGAGGCAGAGGTTGCAGTTAGCCAAGATCGTGCCATTGCCTGGGCAACAAGAGTGAAACTCCATCTCAAAAAAAAAAAAAAAAAAAAAAAAAAAAAAAAAAACTTATTTTTCTCATCATTAGATAAAAACAAAAATCTGCAACTAGGTCAAATCAAATCAAGTAGGAATTCATCAAGGAGATAGGTTTTGTAAGTTTCCATTGACTGCATAGAGCGGGTCTGAGTCCCCCTGCCCTTGCTCTCTTCTGTCCGGGAAGCTGCAGGCAAGGCTGCGGGTGGCTTGAGTCTCCTGGCCCCTGGGAGAGTTGGGCCCCATGGATCAAGTCTGGAAGCAGCACTGAAGGATGCCTGAGCTGGTGCTCCACGCTTGGGAACCCTCAGGAACTCCTCGGACTCAATTCCCAGGCAGTGGTGATTTCAAAATTCTCCAAGTTGAGACTTTCATTGACCAGGAGAGTTATCTGCTTGCTGCCTCCTAGCACTTTCTGCTTCCCCATGGAGGGACATGCATGTCCTCCTCCCCTTCAGTCTTCAGAGACTACATCTGGTGATCTGGATGTTTTTTGAGGGGCACCTTTTAAATCGTGGGTGAAAATTTCAGTAGCCATCTCCCTTCCAGCTTCCTTTGAAGACATTATCTCTCAGTTTGTTTCTTTGCATTCAAGTCAGGCACGTGGCCTGCAGCCTCGGCCTGTTAACAGCGTGGAACTGTGGCGATGGTGTCCAGGGCAGACTGAGAGGGAGGGATGCCTGCCAATGCCTCAGGACCGACTGCATCTCTCGTTCTGTGGCAGACCTTCCCAGATCATGGGAGACACTCGCTCCACTGTTTGGAGCACCCCTAGATAAATGGGAACTCCAGCCATGAAATTATCCTCTATAGCTTTCCAGTTCCCAGAAGCTGTGTGCTCCAAATGTGAGCTGAGCTGACAGCAGCAAAGAAAGGAGCCAGAGAAGCATCACCACGCATGCCATCACGCGCCCAGGAGGGAAGATGTGGGAAGGCCCTGCGTGCACGATAACACAGGACACCAGAGAAACATAAGGGACATCCAACAGGAATCCACCGCAGTCCCAGCTCCTGGTGATGGCTCCACAGTTCAGGAAAAGAAAATACTACCACAGTTTTTCAAAACGCAAAACAGTGTCACCAAATAAATGAATCGGGTGGAATTCCTACTTTGCTTGTGGGAGCCAAAACCTTCCTCTGTGTATACTTGGTCTTCACTCAGAAACACCAGCCAAAGGCAGCTGATCCCTGGGGAGTACCCTGGCTTCTCGGCCTGCCCACTCAAGGTCACCCTGACTCCTCTAGGAGCCCCTCCACCCACTCCAGGATCATGCTCCAGTGCAAATACTGCAAGGCGCAGGGGAGAGCATTTACACGCCAGGGCTCCCATGGAGGGCCAGCGTGTGAATGTTTTGTTGGACTGAGCTATATGGGGCTACTTTGGACCTACAAAAGGAAAAATTAACTTCTTACATTTTTCGGTAGCCTGAATAGTAGGTCCCCGCCTCTGCCCAAGATGTTCGCGTCCTAATCCCCGAACTTGTGAATATGTCACCTTACATGGCAGAAGGAACTTTGCAATGTGACTAAACGAAGGCTGTTGGCATGGGCAGGTCATCCCAGATGATCTTGGGGGTCCCTTTAGGTGGAGAGGCAGGAGTCAGTACTGGGAGCTGTGAGGGTGGAGTGAGAGGGTGGAGGGCTGCAAGGAGGGGTTCAGGCCTCGGGAGCACAGGGGCCTCCAGGAGAAGCACGGCCCGCCAACGCCGTCACGGCAGACTTCCGGGCTCCAGGGCTGTAAGGGAAGGAGCCTGTGTCGCATGAGCCACTGCGCTGCGGGGAAGGGGCCTGTGTCGCGTGAGCCACTGCGCTGCGGGGAAGGGGCCTGTGTCGCGTGAGTCACTGCGCTGTCGTGATTTGTTACTGCAGTGGCGGGCAACTCAGAGGCGTGCACTAGATTCATCGCCAAAAAGAGGCTCAATTTTTCCCCCTTCTCTTGGACCCATGCCCGTTCCCCATCTCTTAAATGTGGGTGGCGCTTGGGACTGGTGGACGGGACAGCAAGCCAGTTCTGACTGAGGCCTCTGGAGGCCTGGGAGCCTCAAATCACCCCATGGCACCCACCTCTGCTACTGGAGAAAGACAGCCTAGGCATGGCAGCTCAGGCCACGTGGACCAGCCGGCTGTCTGATCTTTTTCCTTTCCTCCATATCAGACTTTGGAAGTTAAGGCTCAAATTTATACTTACCAATGGCTCTCTGGTAAATATTCCTAAAAGTAAGGGTGCAATCAAAATAAGCAGTCACATTGAGTAAGGGAAGGAACATTGCTATTTTCTAGAAGCTTTCAAAAGGCCAAGTGCTTTCACTTAAGAATCCCGCTTAATAATCCACAAGAGAACTCTGATTTCCATTTCAGAAGTTAGAATAAAAATTTGTGAGGCTGGGCACAGTGGCTCACGCCTATAAATCCCAGCACTTTGGAAGGCCGAGGCAGGTGGATCAACTGAGGTCAGGCGTTCAAGGCCAGTCTGGCCAACATGGAGAAACCCTGTCTCTACTAAAAATACAAAAAATTAGCCGGGTGTGGTGGCACATGCCTGTAGTCCCAGCTACTCAGGAGGCTGAGGCAGGAGAATCACTTGAACCCAGGAGGCAGAGGCTGCAGTGAGCTGAGATCGTGCCACTGCACTCCAGCTTGCGGGGGCAACAAGAGCAAAAATCTGTCTCAAGAAAACGCTTGTGAGAATGAATGGAAACAATACTATAAATCTGCTTTAAAGAAAACAGTGCGGTGTTGCAGTGTCGATGTAGGAATAGACAAACTGAACAGAGGAATTGAATAGAGGGTCCTGAAATGAGCAAACCACATGTGGAAACTCAGTGTCTGGCAGCAGCACCATCTTACAGCACTGGAGTAGGGACGAGTGTTTCAATCAGTTGAATGAGACAACTGGTGGCCTTTGGGAAAAAGATAAAATTAGATTCATATGTCACATCAAACATAAAGATAAACTCTCAGTGGATCAGGGATCTAAATATTTTTAAAACAAAATAATAAAAGTACTTGAAGAAAATATGGTTAAATTCATATTCAACCTCCATGGTGAGTCTTTCTAACTATAACCTGAAATCCAGAGGCAATTAAAAAAGAATAATACATTTACCACATAAAATAAAATAAAGCTGTTTGGCAAAGTATCATAAAGGAAACAAAAAAGCCTAACAAATTGGTAGAAAATATTTGTAACACAATTCATGGATGAAGGACTCATGGCTCCAACCTATGAAGACGTCTTTAAAATGGAAAGAAAACAACCAAAAAACAAAAGAAAAATTTTAGAAAATGTATGAACATATAATTCACAAAAGAGGTGTCAAAATGATCCTCATCATATAAAAAATGTTCTACCTCAGACTGGGCATGGTGGCTCATGCCGGTAATCCCAGCACTTTGGGAGCCCAAGGCAGGCAGATCACGAGGTCAGGAGTTTGAGACTAGCCTGGCCAACATGGCAAAACCCCTTCTCTACTAGAAATATAAAAATTACCTGGGCATGGTGGCGTGTGCCTGTAGTCTAAGCTATTCGGGACGCTGAGACAGGAGAATTGCTTGAACCCCGGAGGCAGAGGTTGCAGTGAGCCAAGATTGCAACACTGCACTCCAGCTTAGCAACAGAGCAAGACTTCGTCTTTAAAAAAAGAAAAAACCGGCCGGGCGCGGTGGCTCAAGCCTGTAATCCCAGCACTTTGGGAGGCCGAGGCGGGCGGATCACGAGGTCGAGAGAAACCCCATCTCTACTAAAAATACAAAAAAAAATTAGCTGGGCATGGTGGCACGTGCCTGTAATCCCAGCTACTCCGGAGGCTGAGACAGGAGAATTGCCTGAACCCAGGAGGCGGAGGTTGCGGTGAGCCAAGATCGCGCCATTGCACTCCAGCCTGGGTAACAAGAGCGAAACTCCGTCTCAAAAAAAAAAAAAAAAGAAAGAAAAAAAAGTTCTGCCTTACTCACCACTAGAAATAATGCAATCTGAAACCACATGGAGATACCATTTCTTGCCTATCAGCGAAAATCAGTATGAAAACACCTTCTTCCTCTTCCTCTTCCTCTTCCTCTTCTTTTCTTTTCTTTCTTCTTTCTTCTTCTTTTTTCTTTTCTCACCCAGGCTGGAGTGCAATGGTGCAGTCTTGGCTCATTGAAACCTCTGCCTCCCGGTTCAAGCAATTCTCCTGCCTCAGCCTCCCTAGTAGCTGGTATTACAGGTGCACACCACCACGCCCAGTTAAATTTTGTATTTTTTTGTAGAGATGGGGTTTCTCCGTGTTGGCCAGGCTGGTCTTGAACTCCTGACCTCAAGTGATCTGCCCTCCTTGGCCTCCCAAAGTGCTGGGATTACAAGTGTGAGCCACCACGCCTGGCCAGCAATGCCTCCTTCTGATGAGGGCATGGGGAATAAGTAACTCTCACACTGCTGATGGGAGTGAAAGCCGGCACGACTCTGGGGAGCAATTCACAACATCTAACAAAATGACAACTGCAGTCATGTTCAGTCACCTGCCCCTAGGAGTCCACTCTAAAAACATACCTCCGACAGCGTGGACCTACATACACACAAGATGACTCACTGTGGCGCTGTTTGCCCTCGGAATCTTGTGGAAGTAATCGAAATGCCCACGTGTAGGACAGGAGTTGAGTAAACTATGACGTCGCTGCAGGATGGGGTCGCCTTCACGTAAGAAGGAGAAGAAAATATAGTGTGCTCTCTGTTCATCTGCTCTTTAGTTCCGACTTTTGGAACCAAGCTAACCATTCAAGATAAATGACATAAATACATAAGTGGGAAGGACCCACATGGAATACAAATAGGAACTAACTGACCCAGCTGTATTAGAAATAGATGACATAGGGGAATCACTAGGTCAGGAGTTCGAGACCAGCCTGGCCAACATAGTGAAACCCTGTCTCTACAAAAAACACAAAAAACAAACAAACAAAATAGCCTGGTATAGTGGCAGGTGACTGTGGTCCGCGCTATTCCAGAGGCTGAGGCAGGAGAATCGCTTGAACTCAGGAGGTGGAGGTTGCCATGAGCCAAGATTGTGCCAGTGCACTCCAGACCTGCAACAGAGTCAGACTCCATCTCACACACACACACAAATAATAAATAAATAGATAAATGACATAGCCATGCTGAAGAGGAGTGGGCAAGACGAGAACCAGCCTAGGAACATTTGGGAAACAGCATTTTGACCAGATGCTCTAAAACTCGAAGGGTTTTCCAAAGGCCAAATCTGTGACATTTTGAACATCATAAGTAATAATAATGAATTATAATTTGTAGAATAAAATGAAAAACCAGGGTTCCATCCTGGCGTAAATAATTGAATGCATAAATAAATGGGAACTAGTGAAAGCTCTTCCTTGCAGTAGCATCACAAGTAATAGATGCAGAATTGTGGAGTCATACAGTCATCATTTGGCACCGACCGTAATACTAATTCAGCAAGAACCATCGATGGATGCTAAGCTTGTGGGGGAACGTGTGATTAGGAACAGCATATTCACACAGTCTCGAAGTGTCTCTCCCTACACAGATACATATTACAAAGGGCAGAGGGACTTCCCAGTGAGGAGACCTGGCAGGTGCCCTATCCACCAAGTGTTAAAAGTTACCATCAGCAGGAACAGGACAAACTGATGGTGGCCTCCCGACTGAGGTATGGAGAAGACATCCCTCCTGGGGTTCCCTGCCCAGAATGCACAGCAGAGCCCTCAGACAAACTGAGCAACAGTCTGCAAAATAAGTGGCCAGCGCTCTTCAAAAGTGACAAGGTCACCACAAAGTGACAAGGCCATAACAAAACAGAGACTGTGGATCTGTTCCAGATTAAGTAAGAATCAAGAAACATGACAAGTAAATGCAACGTGTGATCCTGAATTCGATCCTGGACCAGGTAAACGCAGACTCCTGGCCCTGACCCAAGACCTCCTGGATCAGAACCTCTCATGTGAAGGCCCAAGAATCTGGATTCTAATTGGCACCATGTGACCCTTCAGTACAGTACAGTTGAGAACGATACAGCTGTGATCTTATTCATGTGACAGTCATGACGCAAACGACTGAGCGAACACGTCCAGGACATTTACAAATGGAGAAAAGTGCTGTGAGGGAAAGGTGGAGGGAATGGCGGCCTCAGACCACACAACACACAGATGGGACCAGACCGGGATGGGGAAGGCTTGGGGAAAGTCTCCCTCAGGAAGCAGCATTTGAGATGAGACCTAGGAAACAGAGGGAGTGAGGAGACACAGAGGGGAGGAACAGCAGCCAGACGGAAGGAGTCGCCGATGGAGAAGTCCTAAAAAGGAAGGGGACTGGAGATTTGGAGGAATTGATGTTCACCGAGACTTACCAAAACTGCAACCCAGCCTTACTCAGCCTACGGAGGTGATAGGTGTGACTCGGGCGTTTCACAAGCACCTGCCGGGCTTCCCGGCCCCTGAGGTCAAGGTCTTGTCTTTGCACTGGCAGACTGCAGAAACTTCCAGAATGAGATTCAGATATAATTCGTTTAGCTTTTTAAAAGTCTTCCCTCCCAGCACAGCCTCAAAATTCAGCAAATGTCTTAAGGGGGAAGCAGGCCGAGTGTTTGAGACCCATCTTTTCTCCCTAATCCCACAGGGCTGCCGACACGGTGCTGTCCCCGATCCCCAGCAGCAGCCCCATCCAGCCTGAGCCCACATTTGCCCCCAGAGCCCCACCCTGCACCCTCGGCCCCTCTGGTTCACGTCACTCCCATGGCCCTTGGAAGCTTTGAGAGAGATTACAATGGAATTGTATGCACTCACTGAAACTGTGTTATAAGGAGTGGTTTTTAAAGTTATATAAAAGGTATTATCATGTTAAATGAAAAAATATACAAAATCACTTACAAAATATTGTTATAGTTTATATTTAAATTAACAGCACTATAAATTCTCCCGTAAGAATGCCCTCCCTTAACCAGTCAAACTTCAAGAGGCTAGCAGGGACTGGTAGTCCGTCCACCTCACAACGCACTGCAACCCAGCCAGCTCCGTTGCAGCCTCTGCAGGTCACGTGTGGAAGATGCGGAAGTCTTCAGGGACTGAATGCAGACTCCGAGAAGTCTGGGGACCAGCCCTGACAGTGGACTAAAGATCTGCAGGAGGCCGAATTTGGTGGCCAAATGCAGAGTGTCCAGTCCACACCGTGTGGCCCACCCAAGAGCTCGGCCTAAACCAAGCACCTCAGTCTGTGCAGCCTGTGACAGCCCACCACCTAGACTGACGACTCAGACAACAGAGGTTTACCTCTCACCATTCTAGAGGCTGGAGGCTGGGATCCAGGCGCTGCCATGGCTGGGTTCTGGGGAGGGCTCGCTTCCTGGTTGACAGACCAGGCTTTTCTTTGTATCCTCACAGAGCAGAGA